TGAATAGTGTACATGTAAATGTAGTGGGGGTTACACAGTCCAGTAAATTGTAGCAACAGTAGTATACAAGTTTAGTAGCACATTGTGTGATTGTGTGTTAGCTTGAAGAACAGCAACGGCATCATCATTAATAGCATCATATACATGTACCTATCACTTTAAAGCTCCCTGCTGTTTTCATTCATTATGAAAGATTAACAGAGTTAATGTTTACTTGATGCAATAGACCAATAGTAAATAAATGACTAAGTGCATGTACATGTACAATGAACAACTATAATTGTAAGTTTACTTTATTGTTACACTTAGTGAATATCTAGTACTTATTAATCTAGTTACGCAATCTGGAGAATGCTTGTTCTTGTACTTAAGTACTTATGTTAAAGCTAGGGATTGTGCTTGTGCTGGTACTTTTAACACATTTAAGTAAATGTATTTGTGTTTAAGCACATTTCATAGTGCTTGACAGTTAACCCCACGTCTGCTAGGTGCTGTACATCAAATGGAGGTGTTTGCTACATTAGAGTCTTAGTTAGGAGAGGTTCTACTGTACATACAGTAGTAAGGAATGGGTCAACAATTCTCAATAAACAGTAAAATCAGCACCACACAATAAATGGATGAATGCAAACAGAGCCAATATAACATAGAGATAATATGCACTCCAATACATGCTAATAGAATTTGACTTACGGCCTTACACACATATGTACATTGTATACTATTACATGTACATATCTAATATGTGTTTATACAAATAAAGACTTCTCTGTCAATCAATATACTTGATCATCAACATAAAGGCATAAAACCCAAAGCCCATTAGAAAGGACTATTAAAAGGTGGAGGCTATTTTTAAACCACTCCACCCATAGCTTTTATACACTTATCTCTTGATACACATTCACACATTGTCCCCATACACAGTGTCACCAGTGGCCCAACAATCATTAATACAACAAAACAAGTCTTTATTAAAGATTAGTAGTCTCACCAGGTTTCTTAGGTGGCTCGTATGCAGGCAGTAGATCCATTCCTCCTCCACCTGTTGCCTCTTCTTCTGATGACTAAAAGATACAGTACATGTTTATAATGAGAGTGAGGATACCTAGAGGACTAATGTAAGGTCTATGTACTTACCAGAATAGGTTTTTTCTCATAGCCTTCATCCATTTTCGCTGACTTTTGTCCGAGCTTTTGTCTTCCTTCACTCTTCAGTTTCTTGTTGATACAATCAGTCAAATTTGTCAATCACGTCATTTTAAAAAAAATCACGTGATCATGGCAATATCCAGAGTGGGCGGGTCAAATTTGAGCCATAGGCGCCTCAAGAGGAAGAAAGGAGTGTGAATTAGTGTGTTTACTTGCTTATCTGCTCGCTTATCTGTGTTTACTTGCTCTGGTCTGTGTTGAAAATGAGTGGGAGCAAGGTCTTTTCTAGAAAAAACGGCACCCGAGTGTATGTTCACAGCCAAATGGTGCGCTCGAAGGATCATTCCGCTTCAGGACGTCCCGCATCATATAAATCCTGGTCCGATTGTAGGATGTCCACATGTCCAGCAATGAGTGGACGCGGATTAGAGTACATTATCAATGATCGTACACCATCAATTTTCGGACACTTGTTTTAGGAAAACTATACATTGCCATCTCATGAAACTGCAAAGTATTATAGCAATAGTTATCCTTTATTTGTGTGACAAAACTTGTAGCTCTAGCAAGAGTGCATAGAAAGTTATAAGCTCTCAAAGCGTGGTGTCCGACAATACCAATGATCGGCCAAAATTCTCAATCTTCGGACT